TATTACAGTATAATAATAACTAATTTATCTCTCACGATGATTAGCACAAAATAGCCTTCAGTGCGGTACTACTATTCCTGGATCCGTGACGTCATTCAAAATGGCTGCGCCCATAAACCAGACAGACGAGCGCATAACACAGCATAATTTACCATTTTCAGTGAGTACCGTTACGTTTTAAGAGCTATTAGTATAAATCTACAGACACAGTAGTCATGTTACATGATAATAGTTGATTTTACACTGTGTTTATTTCTTTTTTTTGCATTAAAAAATATAAATTTCAGAGATTTCTTGCTGGCCATAATTTTTCGAGGTCGTCCGTATTACCGTAATTTTGACTCGCGTCCGTAACAAATTACGGGCAATACGTAACAGTTGGCAGGTCTGAATAACCAACACCACCCTAAATTGCAACATGTGTATCTATAGTCTCACATCCCCCAATGGCAACCATACTACCCCTTTTCGTATTTTCCTCAAAAAAACCACACTGCTGCATTAACATAACCACGCATTACACTCATGGATAACTTTATTAAGTAATTTTCACGTATAGGCCTACGCTGCTGCAGCTGCCTATGATAATGATCCTTGACTGCGTAGCTTCGACGTATTTGCGAGAAAGGTAGCACTGGGAAATCACCATAAACTTTGCAAGACACAAGATTGTCATGTAGCATTTTCCTCCAGAACCAGTTACTCCGTCGCGGTAACTGTTTCATAACTATACCCGAGACATGCGCATCAGATTTTGCTGCAGTGTCCACAGACCATGTCTGATTGGAAACAGACAAAATCTGATTGGAAACTCAGGTTGGTTATCTAATGAACGATGCGTGCGCGACACACCGTGACAAACACCAGACTCGTACCTTCATAAAAATGATCGGCCGTCTTCTTGCGCAACTGTTCAACGCTCTCGTCCGTGTCTGCCCATTCCAACACTAGGCGGCGCCCGTACAGATGAGTGCTGTGCGCCAGAGCGGCAAACGCGCGCTGAAACATACCGTGACATACCTGTAGTGACTCAATAAACAAGTAAGGACCTCTGGTGGTGAGAATGCAAAGTTCACTGATACGTTCTGGCAGTAATGTGGGGTATCAGCGAACAGCAAATGCATTGAAATTCATGTTAATTGCGTTATAATTGCACGCAAATTTAATTAGATCCGCTGAAGACATCAAACAGGAAATGCTAAATGCTCACTTTGGCATCGTGCCGAGTCACGAACTCGGCGAATCCAAAGCCTCGGTGGGAGCCGGTGCCCGCCATCTTTTTCGGCAGACGCACAAACTTCAGCTCGCCAAATGTACTAGAAGCAGAAGTATCGAGGATGTATAGACATATGCTTGCACTCTCACACATTCTCTAAGGACTAATAATCTGTTTAGGGTTCTGGAGCCCATTGTCATAAACAAAATTAGGAACTTTTTCTCATTGACTATTGACAGAAAAATGTTAACGTTACAAGTTTCTCATATGCAGACAAAAATATTAATATACTTTGTTAATGGCAATGGGCCCCTGGATGGTTTTCGTGAACTTCTCTACACCCCACCCTCAACACACATGCGAGCTATACCTCAAACACGTGTTACTGTGACAGAATAGTGACAGCTACATTTACTGGCCACACACTGAATTCATTCACGTTCGCTTTGATTGCAGATGGGAAGTAAACACCATAGTCTCTCAGCCACGATGGCTATAGTGTCGCAATTGCAGCATAACTAAACATACTGCACTGTGTGTTGTCATTACTATATGATATACTTGCCTAAACAGCTGCTGAACTTCCGAATGCTTGGCCTCAAATGGAATGTTCCGGATGAGAATTTTGGCCGACTTCTGCTTCGTCTTCGCTGCCTTCTTCCGCGCATGCACCGAGTCATTCCTATCACGACAAGAGAGATCTCTGCAGTTAGACAAACGCCACTAGACTAATAGCAAGATATGTGATCACTTTTAATTTCTCAATGGTATATGTGTTTAAAGAAACACCCAGGATTCAAACACTATTAAAGCAGACTCAGAATAAGTGGCGATGCATAATAGGCAACGACAGTCACACGGTTCACCTTCCTTTGCAATATGGAAATGTCGTCGGCAACATCCAGTGGGTAACTCGCAATAAAGCAGTGAAGCAACCTTAATTAATCGCTACATCTAATGCACGCTCCCTCCCTAAATCAGACACGACTGCTAGACACCCTATAGTGACACCTAACAGATGTTCAATGACGACGTTAGCTCCCTGCTAGAACTTACTGTGTGGCTCGCTGTGACAGCTTCAGTTCTAAGCTGTGGCCATCTAGCGCGCAGTGTTGGAGTTCCTTAATCGATCGCTTGGCATCGCGAGTGCGATAGTACTGCACAAAGCCGTAGCCCATCGAGAGCAGACGCCCGGGAGCTTTCGCATCTTTCTTCGTCGCAACGGTAACCTGGTAGATGGCGCCGCACTTGGAGAATGCCTGAAAGATTTATAGTGGAAATTACATGAGGTCAATGCTTTTATACGAACAGGTGCCCCAGGTTAGATACCCAAACTCTGATGGTAGCTATGAATACTAAAGGGCTGCCACAGGACAGGTCTCTATGTTACATACATGCATGCACTTATATGACCTCAAACCAACTTCTATCTACTTAGAACTGTGACAGGTAGGGTGTTAATTATTGTCTACAAGGAAAGGTCTGTGGTCTCCCTACACAACAAATAAACAAGTATAATAATTTTGCAAACAATACCCATTGAAATACGTATATAAGGGGTACTCAATTGAAACCCTGTAAGAGTGTCCTTTATTGACAGGTGCCTCGTTCTGTGGAAGTAGCTGCATTGTATAATTGCCATTAAATGAAAATGCCAAGCGCCCTTATAGCCATTTCGTGGCAATGTCAATGGCAAATGCAACTTTCATTATAGAATAAACTGAAACAACAGTATCTGCGAATAGTAAAATTATACCTGTGATGGGATACATTTCTGATGAATGAATTAACCAACTGGATAAACGTTATCAATGATGTTAGAATGAAATGCTAAGGGTGGTCACAATGGTATATACATTACCATACCATGTGTACTTGTGCCATACAGCTGGTACTAGTAGTCGAGTAGTATTCACCTGCTGCAGGCTTTCCTTTGTTGTATCAAAGTTAAGATTCTTCACGAATATTGTGGTGTTCTCCTCTGGTTCCTCTTCCTCCTCATCTGATGACAAAGTCTCCCCTTCCTTCTTTGCCTTCTCTTCACTTTTCTTCTTGGTGCTGCCATCTTCTGGTGTAACCTAGAAATATTGAGATTATTTTAAATGAACGAATTGAAAGAACAATATTTCTACTCAACACTATAATATGTAAGAACTATTTTGCTGTTTGAAGTATTGGTTAAAACCGATATCACGTCATACAACTTTTAAAGTTAGGATCAGGACTATGAGCAAAACAAAACTAGTTGTATGACACAATGGATACAGACAATATTACACAAATACGTAGCTAATTTCAATTTATTCTAAGTATAAATAGAAAAAAGCTAGCTCTTTTAGCTTTAGATTTACTCGAATATCTGCGTAAATGTTGGCTTATTTGGCCTCACTGTCATCAATTCTTCGGCCACGTGTTTAAAAACTTACCCCATCTGTCTCAACAGCTTTCTGTGCAATTCGAGGTTTCAGTGCATCAAGTGGAGCCCATTCAAGGTAGAGTGGCACGTGCTTGAACTAAAACATGATTGGTACAAAGTTAAATTTAAAAAAAAATTAATTAAATTTAAAAAAAAATTAAT